AAACATGGAGACTCTCAGCTTTCTCCTTCTATAGGCTGGTACACACACTGAAGCTGCCTTGCTCTTTGGGCCAGGAGGACCACTACATTGTCCTGCCTCTGTCTCCTAGTCCTGCTGTCCACATTTCTCTGCTGCTGTTTCTTGCTTCTCTGCACTGTCCCTGGTATTACAATTCCCTGTCTGTCTCCTGGGTTTAGGAGGCTGTAAGGGCAGGGACCCTGTGTTCAAAGGACACACTTCACGTAGTAGTGAGGTTCCCCCCACCCCCACCCCCGCCTGCTCTGGGATTTGCTAACTTTTTGACGCCTAAGAGGATTGCAAAACTGACCAATCTCCTTGTTAGAATTTCATACACTTTGTTTGCGTAGTTTCACCCAACCCACACATGCATCTTGTTTTCATTATTAGCTAACTGTCCAATCCCCTTAGTAGGTCATAAGTACCTTATTTGAATAGTTCCATCCAATAATTTGCTGAAAGTTAAAAAACTATGAATATAAAAGGGATTTGTTATACCATAGTCATCATAATGAATAACCACATGTATAGTTTTGACATTTCTTTCTCCATCTTTTCCCCTTCTGTCTTATTCTCTGCTATTGCCTATTTCAGAAAAGCAGACTCCACCAAATGTCTTCAGTCCCATGGGAATCGTCTCTCCCAAGCCTGAAAGCCCTGTGCCCTCATTGGTCCTGTCTGGTTAGAGCAAGCTAGAGGTGGACTGAGCTCATCCAGAGGCCGTCCTGTTTACACACGAAGAGAGACGTGTGCTTCCCATAATCAGGAGTGAGAAGGCTGACACTACCTAATCTCCCACATTGCATTCTTTTCCACTAGACTTTTCATTTTAATGATTTCCTCCTTCCAGGACCATTCCCTCTCTTGCATAGCCAGATCTGGTTTAGGCAAGTCCCTGAGTTCAAGAGACTCCTTTAGTTTATCTTAGCTGCCTCCCTTCTGACCATGGAGCACCCGGAACCTGAGTTGTTAGCCTCTGGTGAGTCCAGGAATGTAGAGGCGGTCACCCCGGAAAACCACGAGGTTCTGCCAGCACCAGAGGAACAGTCTCGGGACAAGGATGACGGAAATGCTGATGGATTGCCTAGAGAACAGGAACCAGGAGACCAAGCTTCACTACCTGCCCAGGACCAGGAGAACCTAGAGTCCCCTCCACCTGAAGCTCGCTCAAGCCAAGTGGAGCCAGCCCATGGGACTCAGACTGAGGTAGAAACAGTTGGGGCATGCTCCAGGGCCCAAGAGCTCCCCCAGTCCCCAAGGGCCCGACAGCCAGAGCCAGACTTCTACTGTGTAAAGTGGATCCCCTGGAAAGAAGAGAGAACACCCATCATCACTCAGAGCGCAAATGGCCCATGCCCTCTCCTTGCCATCATGAACATCCTCTTTCTTCAATGGAAGGTATGAGAAAGTTTGTATGGGGGCTTAGAAAATATGGGGAAGAGTGCTCTTACCATCCCATCTTTTTAACCATCTTTACTATCTCAAACCAGCCAAAACTTTCTAGATTATGGTCCCTGTATCTTCAGTTTGAACTAAGAAGATGTTCCAAAAAACAAAATAAAAAAATTTCTCTTTCCTATTCCTGTTTCTTCTACTCTCTAGCAAGATGGGGTTGTCTTGCATATTTTCCGTTTGTTCCTTTGATACCAGTTACAAGCTTTTTCCCTCACTCCGTATTCTCCGGCTCTCTCCTGTGAGCTCTTCCTCCAGTGTTCCGAGAGGAGGCTCACATCCCTAACACTTTGATTACCCTTATGCCTCAGGTGAAGCTGCCTCCTCAGAAGGAAGTGATCACATCAGATGAGCTCATGGCCCATCTTGGTGAGTGACTGGGCCTTAAAGAGGAATTACCCAAGGGGTCCAAGAGATAGTCACTCAGCTAGAAATTCAGAATATTAGGAGACTTCCCCCTGATAGGGCAGAGAGCGTGAGGGGCCCGGGGGCTTCTCTGTTAGGAAGTGAAAAGCAGAAGACAAGCTGTCAGAAGTCCTGCGTTGTAATGCCACATCTGCATGCGATCTTATGTTAGTAATAACACAAGTGAGTGACTTCAACAGACAGAAATTTATTTTCTCACAGTTTAGGAGCCTAGAAGTCTGAATTCAAGGTCTAGGGGAAGGCTTTTCCCTCTGTCGGCTCTGTCGACTGGTTCTGATTCCTCAGCTCCTTGGTAATCTTCCTCTTGGCATGGTGTCTATCCACTCCCTTCTCTGCTAGCTTAACTCTTTTATATCTCAAAAGAAATTGGCTCAAGAATAATTTACACTAATCTTGTCTTATGAACACAATAAAGACAACCCAACACAAAATTGTCTTTTAACTATAGCTTAGGATTACCACATATTTTGGGGGGACACAATTCATGTCGTAACACCTAGGGGTGAGACCTTTACCTTTATGTACCTATGTCTTCTGAAAATTGATGGAGCAGGATGAAAGTCTTAAACCCTTTCCAGCTCTAACAATCTGTGGTTCTGCAACATCCCCCTTATTCTGTAGGAGAAGAGGTGGCTGAGATTTTGAGATGGTTGGTGAGGAAAACTGATAAGGGATCCTGTTTTGTAGGAGACTGCCTCCTGTCCATCAGGCCCCAAGAGAAGTCAGAGGGACTTCAGTTGAATTTTCAGCAGGTGAGGTTAAAAGTCTGGAAAGAAGAGTTTGCTAATTTGTAAGGAGACCCTCGGGGCTGCTAACAGAAGCTTCTCTGCTGCTTTTCAAAGTGGTTTCTTGAACCATGATTTTATTTCCACAAGAGGGGAGGGTTTATCTCTGGCCTAGAAAATATGTTCATTTATATAAGATAAAGCAGGATTGAGATAAGAGAGGAATGGAATGGTTCGTCAGAGAACTAGGGAAGAAAAGCAGCAGGAATTACTTTTTCAGTTTCTGGAAGTGGCATTGGAAAAATGGGGGTATGGAGGTGGGGAGGCTAGAACATTCACAATTTTATTTTCTGTCCCCAGAATGTGGATGATGCTATGACAGTGCTGCCGAAACTGGCTACAGGCCTGGATGTCAATGTGCGGTTCACAGGGGTCTCTGATTTTGAATATACACCAGAGTGCAGTATCTTTGATCTGCTAGGCATACCACTGTACCATGGCTGGCTCGTTGATCCACAGGTGAGGCTGGGAGCTGACATGGGAGGGGCAGAAATCCTGTGGTGGGGTAATAGAAATTACATTGGGTTGAGAAGCAACAAGGGTTTAGAAGTTGGACCTCATGCAGGATTCCTGGCATTTTAACCTTTTCTGCTAAGAGTTTAACGCAAGGAAATTCTGTACAGATTGGGTCAGTTCTTTAGTTTCCAAAGTGCATGGATATTTGGTCATAGGATTGGAGTGCTGGTGGACTTGGCTTATTTACTTCCTGTAAAGATCTCAGTTCTCTTGTACTATTTCACCCTGTCATCCCTGCAGAGTCCTGAGGCTGTGAGTGCTGTTGGGAAACTGAGTTACAACCAGCTGGTAGAAAAGATCATCACATGCAAGCACTCCAGTGATACCAACCTGGTGACAGAAGGTGATGTCCTTCCCTTCCTGAGGAACTTATACCCTTGCTATATGTAGACGTCGGTCTCTAAGTAGTGCATGTGGATGTCAGTCTCTAAGTAGTGCATGTGGTTTGTATTTGACTGCTAAAGGTTGGCAGTTCAAACTCACTCAGTGACACCACACAGGAAAAGTTTGGTGAGAAACAGTCAGTAAAACCCTTTGAAGCAGCTTTGTGTAACACATGGGGTCGCCATGAGTTGGAATTGACATTATGGCAATAGGTTTGGGTTTTATTTTCTAATATATAGAGTTGTTGTTGTTATTATGTACCATTGAGTCAGGACTGACTCATAGCTGACCCTCCAGTGGGCCATCATTTCCTATGTTGACAGAGGGTCTTTCCTATCCCTTACCTGTCCCTCTTCCCTACTCCTCTATCCCTATGACTCCTCCCAATCCTATTCTCCCTATCACCTTGAGGATTTCCTTCCTTATCCCGGGTAGAATGGAAGAGTACAGTATACGAGAATATGGTATATCATCTGTTTTGTTTACTGAGAGGGTCCCCAGTGCCCAGTCAATGCCTTTGAGTTTTGGTGTTGGAGGAGAGAACTCAATAGCCCATGGACCGCCAAAATGACAAACAAGTCTGTCTTGAAGGTAGTGCAGTCAGGGGCTCCGTAGAGGCAAAGATGGTGACGTTTGGTCTCACGTAATTTGGGCATGTTGTCAGGAGGGATCAGTTCTTGGCAAAAGAGACCATGCTGAGAAAGGTGGAGGGTCGGGAGGAAGACCCTCAACGAGACAGTTTGACACAGTGACTGTAACATTGGGATCGAGCGTGTCAGAGATCCTGAGGATGGAGCAGCAGGGCGCCAAGTCCTGATGTGTTGTTCATAGGGTTGCTATGAGTCAGAGTTGAATCAGTGGCACCTTACAACAACAGCAGCAGTGCAGTACCCGACACAAGACGGGGTCAATAAGTTTGTTCAAAGAATCAGACTGCAAGGGATGGGCTTCAGAAGGTGCGACTTTTGACAGGGCTTCTCTGGTGGAGCCTTCCTCTCACAGACTTGGTTTTAAGCCAACTTGTGTTCTTCTGGCAGGCCTGATCGCTGAACAGTTCCTGGAGACCACGGCAGCGCAGCTGACCTACCATGGACTGTGCGAGCTAACAGCAGCTGCCAAGGAGGGTGAACTTAGCGTCTTTTTCCGAAACAACCACTTTAGCACTATGACTAAGCACAAGGTGATGAGGGTTGGAGGTGGGGAGTCAGAGTGTTCTCATTTCCTCATTCCTTTTGTTTCCCCCTCTGGCTCAGTATTTCAGTCAGGGAGCCTGGATTAAACTGTGGTAACAAATGACCCTTAAAATCTTAGTGGTTTACCACAATAAAGGTTTCTTTCTCACTCATGCTGCATGTCCATTATGGGTTGGCCAAAGTGCTTTTCTATAAACCGTCTTCACTCTGGGGCTCAGGCTGACAGAACAGCCTTTATCTAGAAAATATGACAGGAAAGAACTCTTAATGCTTCCGCTTGAAAATTGCACATGTTATTTCTGCTTAGTCTTGGTGGTCAGAGCGAGCCATAGGGCTAAACCTGCCATCCATGAGGCAGGCACTTTTAATTCAGACCCTGAGGACGGAGCAGTTGAATTTTCTAGTAGTACTAAAGTTTCCTAAAGTTGGAAATTTCCTAGTCTCTCTGGGAATTGAATAGAAGATGGACAGATCTTTGGTTTTCAAGGAGTTTATCATCCTAGCCATCAGGCAAACCCATAAATCCATAGGCAGCAGAGTGGAAAATTGACTCTTTGCTGGTACACTAGCAGTGAGGACTTTATCTACACTTGACCACAATGACTGCCATACTCACACCCAAGCTGATGCTCAGACATACCTTCTCTCTTCCCACAGCCATACACATGTAGAGATACTCCTGCTCGCATGTTCCAGTGCTCACACCCGTTGTTTTAAATGGTCTCTAATTACGTGTTTCAGATTATTTCTGGATAGAAACTGTATCCATGTCCCTACCCATCAGTTAGCCCTTTTCTCTTCTTTGCAGAGCCACCTGTATCTACTGGTCACTGACCAGGGCTTTCTTCAAGAGGAGCAAGTGGTATGGGAAAGCCTGCACAATGTGGATGGGGACAGCTGCTTCTGTGACTCCAACTTTCACCTAAGTCATTCCCTGGTCAAGGAACCTGGAGCAGAAGGTGGGACTGGCTCCCCAGAAAAGCAGCTGCAGGTAGACCAGGTGTGTGTGGGAAGGTACAGAGGTTCTTTGGCCAACAATAAGCCTTCTGCTGTATGCAAGCTGTCTGCATTTTATCATCTAGAAATCATGAGATTTGACTTCGATACCCTTTTCTTTCTCCTCTTACTTTTGGGCCAGCTCCTTGCATGATCTGTTATTCTGTGACACCATAGATAATATAATTGGCTGTGTGTTTTGCTCTGGAGGGTGGAGGAGAATTTGAAGAATGGGGAAAAGACTGATTTGGAAATCTGGCCTGAATATTCCCTCAGACTTCAACCTCCCTCACCTCTTTCTCTTTCCTGCCCTGCCCCCCAGGACTACCTGATCGCCTTGTCACTGCAGCAGCAGCAGCCACAAGGTGCCTTGGGTCTTAGCGACTTGGAGCTAGCCCAGCAACTTCAGCAAGAGGAGTATCAGCAGCAGCAAGCAGTCCAGCCTGCACAGATGCGGGCACCATCCCCTCAGGTAAACCTGTCCTGCGGGCTTGTCCTTTAGCAGTGCTCCGAGGGCCTGCTCCTAATTCTCAGTGCCTCGGCCCATGTTTCTGTAGTCCAGGACACCTGCTCCTGCTGGTATTTCTTCAAGGTTCCCCTCAGGGCCTTTCCTATCCCTAACCTGTCCCTCTCTCCTACTCCCCTGACCCTGTGGCTCCGCCTAATCCTGTTCTCCCTGCCCCCTTGAGGATCTCTATCCTGGTCTAGGGTGGACACTTGACCAATTGTGAAATCCAATACAGGGGAGAGGAGCCACATCCAGACGCCCGGCTGGGGAGCGTCGGCAGAGGCCGAAGCAGGAATCGGACTGTGTTCTCCTATAGCTCGGCCCCAGTGCCAGGCTGAACTGCCCCTTCTTTCAGAAGCTTCTCACTGGTTGCTTGCTCACCCACCTCAACTGTTGAAATACGTGAGATAATTTATTTATGGACTGTTGGGGAGCAGAGCAGATAGTAAACAACAAGGTCAGACTTGGGCCAGTCCTTGCCCTCACGTGCTGCTGCCTTTTCTTCCTCCCAACCATGTCAGGCAATGCGGGGCTTGGTGGGGTAAGAACTTGTGATCCCAGCTCCCTTTCCCTAGAACAGTGACACTACTATGCAGACTCAGGCTTCAGGGTGAGGTCCCTGACTAGGAAGCACCTCCTCAACTTGCAGCCTCTGACTACCCAGCAGGCCTGCCTCTTGTTTGTTTTTGTTTCAGAGTTTGAGTTTTTATCTACATTATTTGTAATACCTTCCTAGAGTTTGAAAATAAAACTTCTTTCCTGAGATACGTTACTTTTTTTATCCTGGAGGAACTGGGCGAAGTCCTGACCCCATTGGACAATGCAAAAGGAGCCCAGCTGGTGGAGTGCTGACTGAAAGGTTGGACATTGGCATCTGCAGGAGAGGCCTGTGGCAGTTCTTCTGTAAAGAATTAAAGGCTTGGAAACCCTGTGGGACAGATCTGTAGGGTTATAATAAATTAGAAGTGACAATGGGTTTTTCTTTTGGAAGAATGAAAAAGGTAGAGGAGTGATAGGGTTGCTTGTCATTTCTAAGAGAGCCAGAAGGGGGAGCCAGAGCCTGCCTCTTGAGTTGTTTTGTTTTCTTTCTGTAGTCCTTAGAGAATTGTGCTGTTGAATGACCAAAAGCAGCCCTCTAAGACTATTAAAATCCACCAGTGGCTCTGAGGGAGAAACTTGGGCAGTCTCCTCTTATGTGGTATACAGTCTCTAAAAACCTGCTGGAGGATCAGCAGTGAGTTAGTTCCAATAGCAATGAGTTTTCTGAGCTATGAGAAATAGGGGAACTCTGCTAGCCTGGTCATCTGGTGGGGTTCAGTTTTCTATGGAAAATGTTGCTTAATGGTGAAGAATTAGGCTGCCAATGCAAAGGTACACAGTTGGAATCCACCAGCCATTCTGCAGAAGAAAAATGGATAATCTCTTCCCATGTGATTTACTACTTCTGAAAACCCACTGGAGGGTCAGCTATGGGTTGGTTCTGATTCAGTGGTACACAACACCACCATGGGAAGTGTGGGAAACCCTGGTAGCATAATCTATAGGGAGTTGCAATATTAATGCCACACCTCTTAGATATTCTGAATACCTCAGCAACTCTTAGGGTGGTGATAGGGGATGAACAGTCTCCTCTCATGCAATTTACAGCCTTAGAAACCTAACAGAAAATCAGCTATGAGTTGGTTCTGACTCAATGACAATGAATGTGATGGATGGAAAATGTATTCTGTGTCACTGAATTGATTCTGACTCATAGAATTTTATAGGGCAGGGTAGAACTGCTCACACAGGATTTTCAAGGCTGTAATCTTTAATGTTGTTATGCCATCGATTCATAGCTGCCTCACGAGGAAGTGGTGGATTCAAACTGCTTGCCTTTGAGTTGGCAGCGCAATTCCTTATCACTAGGTCCTTACCACTAGTGACAAGAATCTGCGCTGCAATGCCGAAGGCATGTGGTTTGAATCCAACAGCTCCTCCACAGGAGAAGGATGGACAGTCTCCTCTCGTGCAATTAACTACTTCTGACAACCCACCAGAGGGTCAGCTATGGGTCAGTTTTTTTTTTTAATTATATTTTATTAATTTTCATAAACATTTACAGAGATTTTGGGCTTTCACTCATTCATTGTTGCACTATTCTCTCTACCCTCCTCCCAGTTTGTTCTTGTCCAAATGCCACAGTGCTTGTCAAAGCCAGTTCTGATTAATCTTCTTTGTCTGTGTGTCCTTTGCCATTTCCTATCACTCCTCCCTGAGAGAGACTTCACCCTGAGTCATAAGGAAAAGGGGATGGCGTATTCTCTTAGCTACTTCCTGCTGAAAAGGGACGCTGTGGGTTTCAGGGTGAAGATCTTCTCTCACTACTCTAAAGGGCCTATGGGTCAGTTCTAAGTCAGTGGTACACAGCAACAAGTCATAGATGGTGCAGGAGAATTCAGATCTGCTGTTCATAGGGTTGTTAGGAGTCATACTCGGTAGCACATAACAATCTTTAGAGAAGCACATTACCAGGTCTTTTGTGGAACAATTGGTGGCTTCAAACCACCTACATTTTGGTTAGCAACTAAACACTTAACCATTTGCACCATCAGGACTTCTATATGAAATAGAGCTCTAATTTGGAGAGTGAGTTTCCAAGTCCCTGCTCTGAACAGATGTTATCTGCCAACCTAAGACTTACCATGCAGTTCATACACATTGTCCTTTGCTACTTTGGACCTCTCTCTCATTTTAACCATTTAGCAGCCAAAAAAACTCAGAAAGATGAAGGCCCTCAGTGAGATGGGTTCACAAGTGAGTTGAAACATAGCAAGGACTGAGAGAACAGCAAAGGGCTAGACAGTGTTTCATTCTGTCATCAACAGGGTCACTGTGAGTCAGCATCAGTTGGATGGTACCTAACAACAACATCCTCATTGCAGACCAAGCCCTGGTAACTGTTCCATAATTATTTTGCCTGAAATTTCCTGGGGAAGAGCAAATAATGGAGGTGGGTCGGGGAGAAGTAAGAGAGAGATGTCAATAACTGCAGTCTTGGGACCCAAAACAGGATTCCTTTTGAATATCTAAGTGGACATCAAAGGTACTTCCAACTCTGAGGGCCCCTCCACCCCCATTCATGTCCTGCCCCACCCAGACTTCAATCAGGGAACACAAACTACAGTGAAGTTTGCCAAAAGAATTCAAGAACCACTGGGATATTCTGGCCCAAAAAGTATATGGGAAAGACGAGTAGGTAAAACCACCAAAGCAATTCCATCACCTACTACACACAGGACAAAGTCAGAGGCCCCGAGTTCAGACAGCACTTTGAAATGAGAAACTATGGGCCTTGAAGGAAACTTGGAGCTCCAGGCTCCATAGGTGGCAGCGGTTGTCTTGTGGAGGGCTTCAACTGGTATCCTGCAGGATCAGCCAAACTGAGGGACCTAAGATCCCTGAATGTCACGCAAAGGTGGGAGACAGGGGGCTTTCAAATGTCTTCAGCCCTACACAGGGCTAGTAGGGCTGACCGACAATCCCCTTTTACTCTATCCTGCAGACAAAGAAGTTATGAGTTAGGAAGACCATCACTGCCACAAACCCAAATATTTCCCCCTCCCTTGTGTTGGTCTATTACTTATCTGGGAGGGAAGGGTCCTCCCCAAGGCCAGGAACTTTACATTAAATTCATCAAAGACATAAAACCTCCCAGGCATAAATATTCTCAGTTGCAGAATCTAGGGGGCAAGGCAAGGCTCTGGAGCCACAACCGTGCCAGTTCTCACCTGGAGAGAAGAATAAAGGGACTTCCCAAATTTCTTCTTGAACTCAGCTCGGATGCTTAGGAGGTCAGTCTCACTTCGAGAGATGAGGATGCGCATCAGAACTTGGTGGTTGGGTTCGGTTCCCTGGGAGAAAAAGAAACGAGAGAGTAGTTAGGAAGGTTCTCACTCAGAATAGGGATGGATAGCTTGATGAATTATCCTAGGAAGTTGAAGTCAGGTGGAAAGAGAAGGTCAAAGTCAAGGAAAAGAGAAATATAAACGACTTATGGGAGCTCTGTGGCACAGTCCACAGGAAGTTGTGTGCATCACTAAAAGGCCAAGCCTCTCTCCAGTGGTTTGATTATACTAGAGGAGAAAAATGGGCAGTCTCTTATGTGTAAGAGAAGGAGTAAACAGAAGTTCTCTTTCTCAATGCTCCCAGATGATGCAGGAGGAAAAGTCAGTACCCAGAGGGAAAGTAGAGGATTTCTCTTATTCCTTTGGCACTGTGTTTGACTTGTCACTTTTCCAGGGTATTCTTCCCCTAGAACTTCAAATTGTCAGGGTGAAGACTGAGGTGCACTTGCTTCAGGCCATGATTTTTTTTTAATTATTTTTTTATGTGTGTACTGTCAAATAGGATTTGACTGGTACAGGAGGACATTGCCCCTCCTGCTTCAGCAGAGCATCAAGTGGATTCAAACTGCACACCTCTGGGATTGCAGTGCTGCTTCTTGCCACTAGGCCACCAGAGCTCACTAGGCCAAGATCTTCTCAATCACTTGCTATGCACCTGAGAGCTGGACAATGAATAAGGATGGCAAGAAGAATTAATGCATTTGAGCTGTGATGTTAGAGAATACTGAATACCCCATGAACTTCCAAAAGAGCAAACATATCCTAGAGAAAGTGAAGCCAGAGTGCTCCTTGGATGCAAAGATGACAAAGTATTATCTCATATTTTGGGCATGTTTTGTTAGAAGGGATATTTCTTTGGAAAGGGACATCATACTTGGAAAGGTGGAGAGTTAGTGAAAGAGAGGGAGACCCTGAATGGTATGAATTGACAGTGACTGCAGCAATGAGTGCAAGTCTGTCAGAAATCATGACGATTGCACAGGATAGGACAAGGTTCAGATCTGTTGTCCAGAGGTTTGCTATGAGTTGTACTTGACTCGGTGGTACCTAACCACAATCCCTAGAGCTTAGTGGGAACAGTTTCAAAGATAGGCATGCAGAAAATGCCAGAAGAGATTTGCTGTCTGTAAAGATTTCCAGCCTGAAAAAACCCCCCAAAACATTAACTTCCAACATAATGAAATCTGAGCAGGTGGTTGTGGTTATTGTTAAGTGCCATCGAGTTAAGTAAGACTCATAGAGACCCTGTGAACACAGATCTGAACCTTGTCTTATCCTGTGCCATCTTTATCATTCTCAACTCAGTTGAGCCCAATTCTACAGTCACTGTATCCTTGCCTCCAAGAAGCACTCTAGTTGTACTTTCTCTAAGACATATATGTTTGTTCTTTTGACCGTCTATGGGATATTCAATACTTTGTCCAGCACCACAGCTCAAAGGTATTGATTCTCCTCCTGTCATCCATATTCATTGTGCAGCTCTCAAGGAGGTACAACCACCCTATTCTAAGCTGAGCTGATGAAGCTCTGACAGAATTAGGATCATGGGACTTCCAGCTCTGATCCTGACCTACAAGGGTGGTGGCACATCATCTTCACACATTCATTTCTCCTGGGTAGACCTTCCTAGTTCAAAATACTGTCTTCCTCAAGTAAGTCCACCTGCCTCCCGCCTTTCAATTGAAAGTCATGGAAAGCCAAATCTAGAAATAAGACAGATTATCAACTATTAAACTATGAATTATAATTTCTTTTAATAGTGTTCTGTTGCTATTGTGTGCTGTTGAGTCAGAACTGACCCATAGGTGACCCTCCGGTGGGTTTCTCAGAGGCAGTTAATTGCACAGGAAGAGACTGTCCATCCTTCTCCTGTGGAGCAGCTGGTGGATTTGAACTATGTGCCTTTGAGACAGTATAGCTTCTTATCACTAGACCATCCGAGCTCCATGAGTTTTAATTTTAATGAGTGATGTATTATTGTGAGAGATTTCTAAATAATATTTTATCTAATCTATGTGTTCATATATCTTCCATTGACTTATCCTGATTTGAGTTTTTCCATTTTTTAAAGTTATCAGATAAATGGACCTATATATTATTCTGACTGTTACTTTCAAGATAAATCTTTTGTTTACATTCAAGAGCATGGGTCTCATCAGCCAAATACATTACAACCACTTAGTCCTAAGAACAAGCTTGTTTTTATGACAGAAAGTGAGATAAGCATAACTTCTCAAGTGAACCTTACTGTTGGTGCATTAGAATAGCACAGGCTTTATTGGGAAAATACAATAATCTACTGTCAAGATGGAAATCTCTGGATGACAGAACAAGTGCTTTTATGTCCTGCCTTTTGAATAGCTGTCAATAAGGCATGATGGCTTCTGCCAAAGAGAAAGCCACTTTTATCTTAAAATTTTGTGTATTTTTCTTTAACTTGCTAAGGGTTTTTGTTTTTTTATTTTGGGGTTTGGGGACATTTCTATTAGTAGGAAATAGGGTTCAGTGAGCAAAATTACTATATACTATTGGTGAAATTATTATACCATAGTTATAAATTTAAATATTAATAATATGGAACAAATTCTGACCAGAGTGGTGGAGGAAGGTGTCACTGGTGCTAGAGGTCATAGGAGTAGCTGCCTGGGGGCTGACTCATGGCAGTTAAATGTCCTACTGATCCATTACGTGTTTTCTAGGAATAGAGTATGACTTCCTTGCTGTGTGACTTTGAGCAAGGTACTCAATCTCTCTGTGCTTCAGTTTTTTCATCTATGAAAATGAGGGTTATGTTGCTTATTTGCTGGTGTGTGGTTATGAACTGCACACAATTAGGCCTCCAAGAAATGCTAAATCTTGTCATTTATTATTTTCTCTTATTTGTTTAGTCATTATTTTTGTTATTTAGTGTGGTTTAATAAAGTTTATTAAAAAAATTCCTTTTCCATTCAACAATTTACACACATTTTGTTTCCTGGCATGAGTTGCAATCCTTCTCAAAGTTAACAGCAGCCTTCTCCCATTTCCTCCCTGGGTTCCCTGTTCCCATTCACCCATCATTCCTGTCCCTTCTTGTCTTCTGAACTTAGTTTTTGGGCAAATGCTGCCCTTTTGTGAGAGCTCTGGTGGCAGAGTCTGAAGGGCATTGTGCTGCTAACACAAAGGGGGCTCCTCTCTGGCGGTTCACACCTGCCAGTGACTCTGGGGCAAGAGGCACAATGTTTCTCACATGTGATTTGCAGTCTCCTAAAAGACCCCTGGAGGGTCAACTATGATTTGGTTCTGACTTGCTAGTGTTGAGTTTTTGCGTTAACTGCCCTTGGAGCGGTCTTCTGTGGTGATGGATCTGAGCATCACGCGTCTCATGGTGCTGCTGGTCACTTTAAAAGTCTATTGTTTGGCTGAAAAGTGATCTCTAGAGGTTAAGTGCCATTTTTTCTTATGGTCATCACCATTCTGGTAACACATTCATATTTGCATTTGGCCTAGGCATTAATGAGGCCAGAGTTTTAAAACTAGTGCCTATATGAGACAATTTACAAAGCTCTTAGCCACAGCTCCCAGACAAGACAGTCTGTAAACTGAGGCAAAAGAGAGCTACTCTATGTTTACAAAGAATGAATGAGATTGTTGCGTTAGTAGCAGACTAGAACTTCTCTCTTCTCCAGGTCTGTTGTCACCTCCCCTCTCTGTTTATTACAAAGATAGTGGAAAGGAATGCTCCTCTTACCTGTAGGGCTTGGTGGAGTTTGTCAGCAAAGTACCCTGGTGTGTTCCTGATCACTGACACTGGAAGCACAGAGGGAAAATGCAGAGAAGTAGCTAATAGGGTTGCAATTTCCCAGCCAGCAGAGACCCCTGCCCCACATGTCCCGAGCGTGCCGCTACCTAGGCCAAGCAGAGCCGCCTGGGCATTTCCACGAAAACGGTGCTGGACAGCTTCCTCCAGCACTCGCCCGGTGTGACGCTGATACTGCTCACAGACTTCCAGTGCACATGGGAAAGAGAAGTTGGAGGGGAAGGTTAGTTATCAGAGAAGGATGACACCCTCTTCACCTTCTTCAAATAAAACTCAGCATGAGAGGAAGCTGGGAGACAAGAAGGCTTTTGTGTACCTCGGACCAGGTGTTTAGGATTTCTCTGGGTGAGGATCAGGATCCAAGTCCGCTCTGTACCAAGTTCTCCAGCCTTTTGCAATGCCTGAGTGGAAAGAGTGAATCAGCAAAGTGGGGCAACTTTCTCAAGGCAGGGCCTCATTCAGCCTAGGTGGACACCGTGGAAACTCTTGATGAATTTCTAGCTCATAGTTTGGGTTCCTCCAACTAACGTGGCCCTTATCCTAGAGAGGACTAGAGAGCTCTGGCACTGAGCCCCTTGCCACCAGGCAGGTGCCCCAAGCCCCGCCACAGCCATCCTCGTCCAGGTCCTTGACTTGCTCTTAAGCTGCTCCTCCTAATAGCAACCACACCCCTCTGTCCCATTACTCTTTCTTTCATTAAATCCTGATGTTTCTCCCAGGCTAAATTCTTGCCTGTGGCAGAGGGGCTGGATTGGAAAGGAGACAGGAAACCTTCACTGGAGGTGAGAAGGCACTGAGGTTAATACACAGGTTTGGGGATTTGTGTTGTGTGTATTTAGGGGAGTGGGGCGGGAGAAGAGCCCTGTCTTCAAAGCACATCTGGAAAATATCTGGTTCACAGGGAGCTCTGGTGGACTAGTGGTAAAGAATTGCACTGCCAACCCGAAGGCATGTGGTTCAAATCCACCAGCTGCTCCAGGGAGAACGATGGACAATCCCCCATGTGGTTTGGTGCCTCTGAAAACCCACTGGAGTGTCAACTGTGTCAGTTTTGACTCTACAGTACGTAACAACAAAACCAACAACAACATTTGATTTATAGTCATCATTTGGTCAGATTATTGATAGGGAGGTGAGGAGCCCTGATTATGTGCCCAGAAACCATCAATACAGCAATAAAATGGAATTTTACAGTAGAGAAAATAATTTATAGTTTGTTTAAAAAGGAACAGGTTTAAAGATGGGCTTTATCCTATAACTCTATTCCCCAATTTGGAAAAATGCTGATACACAAACCAGGAAGCACTGGGCAGGGCTTCCACACTCAATTGGAATGAGAAGAGAATCTGTTCACTTCTGATGTGTTCCAGAGTCAGAAACTGGATGAGTGGAGCTTCGGCACGTTACTACCTGGCACTCCCACCCTGTTACTGAGGATTCCTTCCTCAAGGCAGAGATGCACAGCTTCCCGGCTCTCACATACCTTTCAGATGTGGGTGTGGAGGGTTTCTTTTGCACGATGATGCAAACCCTCAAACCCTATGCTCACCTGAACGTCCTGTTCCTCCAAGTTGTAGTCAATGATCCCAGAGTAGCTCTCACGACCTCCCTAAGAGGAGAAACTCTTCTCAGAAGGACTCTCTGGGGAACAGTTTACAACAGGCAAGAAAGCAATAATTCACATTTCTTGAATAGTCTTTTAAAGGAGTTAAGTGTCCTTTTTAGTTCAGAAGGACTGTTGAAAAACAGTTCTTTATCAGGCTTGAGCCCTTTATCCCTCTAGCTAAGAAAGAAAATTTTAAGGAAGACCCTCACATAGTAAAGTGGACTGGGGTAGGGGTGGGGAATTATACACCAGTGAAAATTTTTTTTCTCAAAGAGAAAAGCAAACTTGGGGTGGGTGGTGGACAGGGGGGGGGAAATGTGCAAGTATGGATGAATGGAAATCCAAATCCTCTATAAACTTTCATAAAAAAAAAAAAGACCCTCCATCCCCTTATCAGGTTGAAATCCTTAGCTTATGTTTGCTTTCCCACTCTACAATGGATAGCTAAGAGTCACTGCCTTTTTTTTTTTAAATTTGTGTGTGTGTGTGTGTGTGTGTGTGTGTGTGTGTGTGTGTGTGTACTGTCAAATCAGATCTGACTGGTAAGGGAGGAGATTGTCCCTCCTTCTCCAGCAGAGCATCTGGTGGATTTGAATCATGCTCCTTCAGGATAGCAGCGCAGCTTCTTGTCACTAGGCCACCAGAGCTCCCACACTTCCTTTTTTGACAACATAATAATAATAAGACCTTGTATCATAGATGACCTTTTCAGTAAATAGGAAGGAAAACTGTAAACTGTGCTGTACGGTAACAAAGTTACTACTAGGTTTACTCTGAATCACAGACTTTATTTTCCTATTTCCTTTTTACATGATGGGCTGAATCAAACTATTTCCCCTTTTGTGTTGTATTGTTAGGTGCCATGGAGTCGACTAACACTCCATGAACAACAGGCTAGAGCCTTGCCCGGTCCTACTCCATTTTCTTCACCACACTCAGGCCCAGTGTTGCAGTCACTTGGCCCGTCCCTCTCACTGAGGGTCTCCCCCTCCTTTGCTCATCCTCCTCCTTTCCCAGAAAATTGCCCGTTTCCCCCCGAGACAGTTTAAGCCAAGAGTGCTAGCATTGTGCTAATGCAGGCACCAAAGACCCAGGACCATGCGCTATCTAGTAGCCTGGGCATCCCGACGTGGTCCTTCTCTCTTAACGTTTAACTTGCTGGGAGCTCTGGGGCCTAGTGGCCAGAGACTGCTCTGCAACCCTGAAGGCACATGGTGCAAGGCCACCAGCAGCTCTGTGGGAGAAGCACCAGCAAGCGCCTACCCTGAAAACCCACTGGAGGGTCATCTAGGGGTCCTTTCCCACTGGATGGTACACAACAACAACAACTGGAACCTTCATGTGCCATTCAAGTGACCCCTGTATGACCTTCTAGCAGCAGCCATCTTGAAAGAGCGTGTTCCTGGTGACTAAGCATCAAACCAGAAAGACACCGTCTTGAAAGAGGAAAACCCTACAGTATATGACCTGTGATGACTAAACTGCTCACTGGAAAGATGCCATCTTTGAGGCCAGCCATGTATTTCTAGGTACACTTTTTAATAAATTTTTTATTATTTTGTGTGTGTACCATCAAATCAGATCTGACTGGTACAGGAGGAGATTGCCCCTCCTTCTCCGCAGAGCATCTGGTGGATTTGAACTGTGCACTTCTGGGATTGCAGTGCCATGTATTTCTATTAATTTATGTAGCCTCTCTTTTTCTTTCTTTAAAATATTTTTAATTTTTTGGGTTTTTTTTTATTATTTTGTGTGTGTGTGTACCGTCAAATCAGATCTGACTGGTACAGGAGGAGACTGTCCCTCCTTCTCCATCAGAGCATCTGGTGGATTTGAACCTTGCACCTCTGGGGCTGCGGTACAGCTTCTTGCCACTAGGCCACCAGAGCTCCCCAATAGCTTCTCTTTTTCTAAAGATAACCCTGCCTAAGAGTTCTTCCCCGATGGCCTTAACCTAATCCACAGACACCTCCCTCAGAGCTTTATTGAGAAATGTGGACTGCCACATTTAAATATGCCAGCATATTTAAGAAAACTTCTGCTTTATCTACCTCAAACCCTGTCTCCAAGATTGCATTTGTTTTGGTGGCAAGAAATGAGTTTTTCTAAACCAATAAGCAAAACAAACCTAAAGCCCTCTCTTATGCATTGCATGACAGCAATGGTCTCTGCTGGTGTGGTGCTCCCTTGCTCTCCAGGCTCGTCCTCCTTACCTTGGCCAAAGCCAGGAGCAGGTCTTGCAAGATGCCACTAGTCTTAGACTTGATGTCCTCTTCAGCTTCCACCTGGAAATCTGAGGTGGGGTGAGGAGTACTCTGAAACCTCCTGGGTTTTCCCAAGGTGGCTACCTCTGCTATTTCTGACCTACTATGCCATGGCATCTCTGCCATATGCCTGGAGTAGTTGCTTGGTGGCTGATGGTTCCAGGGTATAAGGTAGACGCTCCACCACAGCCACCTTTGAAAACACCTGTGGGGATCCAGGTCAATGGCTTACCTCGAAGGAACCTGCCATAGGCAGGAGGCATTTGTTGTTAGAATGGAGGCCAGTAAGTAAGAGAACATGGGGGAACTGACATTGTGAGGCCAGATGGCTAGAACCTGTCTCTTCAGTGCAGCCAAGGGCAAATGATGTGAGGAGTAAGATACTAAAAAGGAAAGAGCACAAAAGTGAGAAAAGGAAAGGAAAAGGAAAAAACAGAAGCAAGAAGGGAGAGATAGGAGAGAGACTAAACAGGCCAAGATAAAATATTCTTAGAAAATTAAGGAAGGCAATAAAAGGGGTTGTTGTGTTGCTGTTGTTATGTGCCTTCGAGTCGACGATGACTCACAATGACTCTATAAACTACAGCTCTGAACCTTGCCTCATTCTGAGCCAACCTCATCATCTCCGACACACCTGACCCCACTGGCACAGTCACTGAATAAAAGGGGTGGTGTGATGTGAATGAGAAAAAAAAGTTATAAATAAGTGTGTGAGGCATGTGGCAGGTAGACAGGGCCAGCAGCCAGAGCTGAGGTGCCACCCACAAGGTGCCAAACCCATCTCCTCCACCTTCCCCTCAGGCCGCAGCCAGGCCCCATTTGGCCTGGACTGTGGGGTGATAGCAGGAGCACCATGGGGCTGGGAAGGAGCCCTGGGGACCCTTGGGACTGTCCCCAAACTCAAAGTTGTCATTATTTTGGAATTTGCCCTGGAGCTCCAGACTACAATGGTTAATCACTGCCTCTCTTGCCTTGATGATCACATTTGCTGTCTCCTCTGAGGTGACGGAGGCACTGTTTAGAGAGGAAGGAGAGATACCTTATGAATAAAACTTGCCCAGACTAAGGTTCTCTGCCCGTCCAGAATAAACGGTGGAGAAATGCAAAGACTTAAGGAAACAATCCAAAAGACTTTTGGGCCACATGAACCACAGCTTCCACTCCCCAGAAACCAGAAGATCTAGACAGCACCTCGCTCCCACTACCAACTGCTCTGATCTCAATGGACCACACAGGATCCTAGACAGAATGGAAGAAAATGTACAACAAAATTCAGATTCATAGGAAAAAAAACCCAACAAAAGAGGCTAAGACTGTGACCCTTAGACACGCTTCAAATCCAGGACCCACCCCCACCCCTGGGGATAGCCTTTCCACCAAACACCAGACAGGCCTACAGCAATAACACCTGTGAGAACAAGTAAGAACCCCAAAAGAGCATAATGTGCCCCAAAACAAAGCTCAAAAGGCAGGAAGGGGCAGGAAAGCAGGATGAATGGGTAGGGGAATCCCTGGGGGAAAGTGCCATTACACCGAGGGAAAGGCAACTACTGTCTTGAAACAAAATGTGTAAAAATTGTTGAACGGAAAACTTCATTTGCTCCATAAACTTCATCCATACCACAATTAAGAAAAGAAAAATCTTGGGCTGACAGGTGCACAGATGGTGTAGGGAGTGCAGGAAAGTAGACTTTTCTGGGAAATGGCCCTCTTCCACCTCTTGGGACCCCTTCTCCGCGCACGCGCACGCCTACCATATTTATAGGCTGCCAGGCACTGGTGCAGCTGAGGTGGAGCTCTGGTAGCTAGAATCTCCATGGCTACATCCTCAGAAGAACCTGAACCCTACAAAGAAATTGGGAGGCCCTCGTATCATTAGGATGGCAGACGTAGGGGCAGAGAGCAGAAGCTGGCCACTTCTCAGGGGCATAACCCAGGCCCCTTTAGCCAATAATGGATGGGCCTGTGGAATGGACAGAGTCAGCGTTTCCTTCTCTCACTGGCGCCCCCAGACATTTCAGACAGTCCCTTCCCTTGGTACCTTTAGAGCTGCCCTCAGTGCCTGGGCATCAAATCGGGCTGCTGGTTGCATCAGAGCCACCACGATCCTCTCCAGGTTGCCAGAGAGTGCTGCCCGCAGGGACTTCAGCAGGTCCTAAAATGAATGTCATTTAAGGTAGAGAGGTGCGTGGGAGGGGAAGGACCCCAGAAGTCTGTCAAGCTTTGGGAAGATTGAGCTGCTTGCCGTAGTCTTTGGCCAGTTTTCACCTCAAGTCTGAAGTACCAAATCCTCCAGGGGATTTCTTTCCCGGGTCCACTGTCCCTGGGAGACATGCCCCTCACCTGCTGGGTGCGCTCCTGGAAGGAGCGAGCGATGAGCTGCCTTTGCTCCCTGCTCCGATTGGTCAGCACATCCACAATGGTGGCATGGTCCACACCTGCAGCAAGATCAGCGGGGCAGGGGCAGAGCCTGGGTCGTTCCAGGACTGAGATTTCCCCCACTCCACGAACTTGGATCTTTCAGAGGAGAGAACAAAGTCTGGGAAGGGTATGCTCAGCGGCTAGCTCACTCCGCGCCCCCCGCCCCTTCCATTTGGTCTCAGAAGAAGATGCATCGAAGATGCCAAAAACAACATGCAGCTCTAACCCAAACTTTAGCAAAGGTGGCCTGGGGTGGTGGTGGGAAAATAGATTTTCAGGATGGGCAGACCTGCATTAGAATTTCCATATCCTTGGGAAAGGATATCAAGCTGGGAAAGGTGGAGTGTCAGAGAAAGAGGAAGACCCACACACAATGGGCTGATGCAGTGACTGTAACAATGGGCTCAAGCCCATCAGAGGTCAGATCTGAGGACGGCACAGGAGGGAGTGAGGCTCAGACGTGTTCTTCATAAGGTCGCTGAGTCGTGGACGACTAAATGGCACCTAACAATAACAACAACATTATGGGCTGTGTGACAGGGTAAGCCTCTTGACCTTCCTGAGCCCCAGTTTCCTCACCTGCAGAATAGGTGTTGCGATAATTGCATGACACACCTACCATGGTATTGACGTACAGGAATGAAGATATTCAACAAATATTTGTGAATCATTGTTAGTTCTTCTTTCCTGACTCTTTCTTGGCCTTTGGATCTTTAGGCAGAAGGGGCAATGGGCAAGGGCCATGGGGAGAGGGGCTCACCTTGCCCTGCAATGGCCTTCAGCAGCCTCTGTACATCCCTGTCCACACCAAAGCTCAAGAAGGTCCTCAGGGTGCCCAGAGTGCCCCACGCTGCGGTCTGAAATAACAGAGCAATTGGGAGGGAGAGGGTATGTCACAGGTCTGTGCCTCGGGGTAGCCCACCTCTTCCCTGTCTATCCCGGCACCCTTTCATAGCCCTGGAGTCGCTGTGTAAAAATTTGCTCCCTATAATCTCAACATCTCCTTACTTTGTTGGCAAGCCCTAGGTAGCTGAGGATCTCCTGGGTCAGGGACGGGCTTGGCTTCCCAATCACAGACATGGCTACCCTGAAAAGGGAAACAGGAACTATGTGAAGTAAGCTCCAGACCGCCAGGGTCTCTTTAAGATCCACCTTACACTGCTCCAGACCCTGGAGCCTGGGCCACCTTTGCCTGCTCCCTTTCCCCATGCTGAAGAAAAAAAAAAATCAACCTGCTTGGCAAGTTTGGGAGCCAGAACAGGAACTGGAGAGGTTAAGAGCCCACCTTCCTAACTTCTCGGCCCCCTCTTTCAGGAAGCAAGGATTGACACAGGATGCTGTTAGAACTAGCATCCACCAAACCCTCCCCAACTCCAGAGTAGTGCCAAGGTGCCCCACCCTTGGACTGAAATGGCTGTCTTCCCTGTGAGGTCCGAATGTCTCTTCTTTCCAGGGCTCGGGTGGGGTGGGGTGAGGTGGTGGTTCTCAGGTGAAGAAGGGATCCAGGGAATTGAGGTGAGGCAGAAAGGGTAGTGGGGTGGGAGGGAAGGTAACTGATAACAACTCCTAGCAGCACTTGCCCCCACCTGCAGCTCCAGACTGCTAGCAAGCTCCCAACCCTCCAACGCCACCCACCTGCTATCTGCCTTTAACTTGAAGTGTGAGGCTGGAACTTTCGGGTCAGCAGGTGCAGTCTCTGCACTCATGTGAGGACGTGTTCTTGTGGGCACATGAGCGCTGGATGATGGATCGGGCACTTGGATTGGACAAGAAAAACTCATTCCTCCCTTCCCTAAGTAATCAACAAGGTGTCTCCTCTCTGGCTGCTCCCCACTCACCTAGGACTTACCCAGAGGTGCTGCCGTCACACCTGGGAGCTCTGTGGACACCAGCTCCAGTGTAGCCTGGTGGAGAGGAAGGGGGTGTGTGTTCAACAGCCTGAGCAGCCAGTCAGATGACCTCTCTCACTGACCAGCCCAGTGTTGTCTGCAGTTCTGGCTCCTCCCAGACGTGGGAGAGGACCAGGCAGTACAAGGTCCCACACACAAACCACCTCCCTGCCCAGCATCTTCCTCTCAGGAACTGGGCCTCAACCCACTTAAGTGAACTCCACTTGGCCTCTCAGCAACTCAGTCCTGGACACAGGAGGCTTTGTGCTTTGCTTTCCTTGTGGGGTCAGGTAGGACCACAGAGGCCTGGTCTTAGTCTCTCAGTCCAGCTTCTGACCTGACTATGCTGCTGGCTCCAGCTCCCTAGGGGGGCAGGTCAGACAGGCTCCCAGCTGATCTCCTGGCTGATAGAGAAAACCTGTTAGGGCACATACCTGCAGGGCACCCCAGCCTGCACCCCAGAGGGTCTCAGCCCAGAAACTCCCTGGACTTACTACCTAATTAGAGTCAGAGGAAGGGAAGACTAGGGAAGCGTTCCCATCCACCTGTAGAGGAGGACCACCCGTATCTGGGAATGACAGCAGATCAGGTGAGTCAAAAGAGAAGAATGCCAAGGGTGTTTCCTAAGGAGGGAAGCACCATACTCCCGAAAAATGACAGGATGATGAAGGAAACTGCCTGGGCCCCAGTTTCTTAGATTCCTTCTGTGCCTTTTGGCTGCCAGGCTGTTTAAGCAGCAGGTGATTCAATCCCAGCAGCTGAGCTCTAGGTTCTTAGTGCACAGGTGAGCAGTCCCAGGAGCCTAGAGGGTCTCTCAGGAGTTACTCAAAGCTCACAGATGACTCCCTGGGATCTAATAGCAGTCTTTTCCCTGCTTCCCTGGAGTGTTTGGTCAGGGGCTGGGCCAAGAAGCTAAAGAGCCACCTTCACTCCTCTGACACACCCCTAACCCAGGAAAACCCTCCCCAGTTTTTTATATTCCTGCAATGCTACTACGGATCAGACCAGGTCCGTTAGAGTGGAAAGCATACACTGATTTTAAAAATGGAGATCCTGGGTTCATTCCCCAGCTCTGCCACTTGTTACATTCTATGACCTTGGAAGGTAATGTAATCTCTTCGTATCTCAGTTTATTTTCTTGGAAAAAAAAGAAAAGGAATACTAGCAGAAGTAGGGGTGGGGTACAGTGGGGCATCTGCAATTAGGGTTCTTGGGAAGATGCAATTAGTTAATGTGTGTGATGGCATACGTTAGACAAGAAAAGTGTTTCGTAAATTAAGGTTGCCAGATTCGGTAAATAAAAATTTAAGACCCCAAGTTAAATTAGAATTTCTGATAAATAATTTGTTAGTATCATATTTGTGTATGACACAAATAAAGCATGGGGCATACTTAAGTTAACAAATTATATGTGGTTTACCTGAAATTTTCATTTAACTATTGTTGTATGCCATCAAATTGACTACCACTCACAGAGACTCTATAAATAACAGATCAAAATCTCGCCCTATCCTATATCATCCTCTAGATCTCTGTCATTGGGAGCTCTGGTGGTCTAGTGGCAAGAAGCTGCATTGCAGTCCCGAAGACACACAGTTCAAATCCACCAGATGCTGCACTGGAGAAGAAGGGCAGTCTCCTCCTGTGCCAGTCAGATCTGGTTTAATGGTACACAATAAGGGGGGGGGGGAGGGGAAGGTCACTACCATGCTCAAGCCCATTGTTAATCGCTGTATCAATCCATCTGTTGAGGGTCTTCCTCTCTGGCTCTCCACCTCTCCTAGCACGATGCCTTTTTCCAAGGACTAGTCTCTCCTGACAATATGACCAAAGTATCAAATGAAGTTTCACCATCCTTAATATTGGAAAAATGAGATCCAATTTCAGCATGATGATTAAAAGCAGTTTCTTTTTTTAAAAAAAACTTTTTATTATTTTTTTGTGTGTGTACCATCAAATCGGATCTGACTGGTACAGAAGGAGATTGCCCCTCCTTCTCCAGCAGAGCATCTGGTGGATTCAAACTGCTAAAAGCAGTTTCTGTATTAAACTTCTGGTCTGCTGTGTGATCTCGGGAAACATGTAACTTTCCTGTGCTCAAAATGTTTCTATTGCAGGTCTTGAGAATGAAATAATAATTAGGAGAGTGATGGATGCATAGAAGTTGGTCTTGCAAAGTGCAGTTGACTCAGCTTCAACTCAACAGGGACCCTATGAATCACAAATGTAAACTTTGCCCTATTCTCTGCCATCCTCAAGATCTCCACCATGCTTGAACCCATTGATACAGTTGTATCAATCCATCTTGTTGATGATCTTCTTTTCCTTTGCTAACTCTGCCTTGCCAAGCACGATGTCTTTTTTCCAAAGACTGGCCCCTCTTAACAACATGCCCAAAGTATGTGAGAATAGGTTACTATTCTTGCCTCCAAGGAGCACCCTGCCTCTGCTTCCTCCTAGACAGCCTTGTTTATTCTTTGACGGCTCATAGGATAGATGCTCAATACTGCTCTCCCACACCACAAGTCAGAGGCATAAATTCTGTCATCCTTACTCATTACCTGTAGCAATAAGTATTCAAAACTCAAACACACTGACATGAAGTTAGTTCTGATGCATAGAGACCCTTTATGCATTTTTAATGCTGTAAATCTTAATGGGAGGGAGACTGCTGAGGAGTTCAAACTACCAGACACTTGGCAACAGGCTAGGAACTGTGTGGCCAGAGTTTCCTAACAGTTAATACACATGGTCAAAATAGTATCTTCTTCATAATAATAATCAACACCCATGGAAATAGTAGTCAAGAAATCAAAAGATGCATTGCATGGGGAAAATCTGTTGTCAAGGAGCTCTTTAAAAGTTCTAAAGAACAAGAATGTAGGTTAAAGACTAGGTGCATCTAACAAGGAGTTTAAATTGCTTCACATGCACGGGAAGCTCTAGTGGCCTAGCTGTACTGACAGCTCAAAGGCCCATGAATTCACTAGCTGCTCTGCAGGAGCAAGGGGGGGCGTTTCCTCCTGTGTGATTCCCCCCTTTTTTTGTAAATTGTGATTTTAACAAAAGTTTACAGAAAAATTGGATTTTCTTTCTTTTTTAAATTAATTTTCATGAAAGTTTACAGAGACTTAGGGTTTCCAGTCATTCATTTTTGCACTTTTCTCTCTGCCCCCCATTCACTCTTCTCCTTAAAACGTAAAAGAAAAACTCTTTCACTATTATACAATCCCTCCCCCTAAGTCCACTCCACGGTGCAGTCTTCACTTTGGACATCTGTAGTTCATATATCCATTTTAAACAGTTCTCTCCCTCATCTGTTTCAATGCAATATACATCATTCCTTCCTCCTTTTCTGTCTTCCCTCAACCCTGATGTCAACCTATTTTACAACAGTGACCCTATGCAATATATGTCCTTTTGAGACTAAATATTTCACTCAGCATAATGTCCTCCAGGCTCATCCATTTTACACTGTATTTCATGAATTCCCTGTTTTTCAATGCTGCATAGTATTCCATTGTGTGAAAATACCAGAACTTCTCTATCCATTTGTTTGTTGATGGGCATTTGGGTTGTTTCCAGCTCTTTGCTATTGCGAACAAAGCCACAGTAAATATGGGTGTGCATATATCTGCTTGGGTGGCAGTTCTGGTTTCTTTAGGGTAAATTCCCAGTAGTGGAATTGCTGGGTCAAATGGGATTTCCATATGCAACTTTTTGAGAAAGCGCCATACTGCCTTCCATAGTGGTTGCATCACTTTACACTCTCATCAACAGTGAATAAGGGTTCCAGTTTCTCCACAACCTCGCCAGCATTTGATGTTTGCTGTTCTGTTAAATCTTGCTATTCTTACTGGGGTGGGATATTTCATAGTTGTTTTGATTTGCATCTCTCTTAGAGCTAGAGATTTTGAACATTTCTTCATGTGTTTGTTTGCCATCTGGATGTCTTCTTTGGTGAAGTGTCTGTTCATATCCTGTGCCCATTTTTCTATTGAATTATTTACCTTTTTCTTGTTGTGGTGCTCGAGTATTTTGTAAATTCTAGATATAAGGCCCTTGTCACACATGTCATTACCAAATATTTTTTACCAATCTGTGGCTTTCCTTTTTACTCTGTTGGAGAAGCTTTTGGATGTGCATAGGGATTTATTTCTTAGAAGGTCACATTCATCTATTCCATCTTGG